CATGTTCCTTTTTGGGCACTATTATTTCGTAAAATGTTCATAATTGTCCCATGAATTTAACAATTTAACAATAGCGCATAATAAATCAATGGCTTTTTATTATCGTTTTTCAAACAACTATGTGGTTTATGACGATATGTTCGGAGAGAAATTCACATTAATAGGCGTCAGTCAACGGCCAATTCCAAAGCAGTCATTTTATTAAACAGTTGAGGAAATAATAGAGAGATTCTCATTCTTTATATTATCAGCTTAAAGCTACTGAGTCAAAGTCCAAAGGTGTTAATAAACGCACTTTCTGGAACACATTACATCTCTTTCGATGAGTTCTAATGGCGGATATTATTTATTTAAACATCTATTTGATAACAAATAATTTCTGGGTGTTTTGTTTTATATTTTGCCATCCATTATCTGACAAAAAAGATGTCCTTGCTCTACATGAGGAATTGTGAGTTAATCGTATTAACTCAAGGAGTATGACGAATGGACTCAATGAAAGTATGACAACGTTTAATATCTTACCCTTTTCAACCGTTTGTGTCTTATGATATTGGATTGCGAAAAACCTGGTACAGACCGTTTTCTTCGCAAAGGTGATATACATCTCTTTTTATGGAACATGGTATAATCTGTATCCTGTACACATGGTGTGACACTATTAATGCGAGTACAGTTGAGCTTTCCAACAGCTCCAGTAGCATCATGGTCATTACAACGACAATGCTGAAATGTTCCTGACGTATCTATCCCCTCAATGGAGTCATAGTCCTCTGGTATAAACATATTTTGTTCTTTTTTAACTCTGAAAATTTCAGACGAAACACGAGTCAATATCGGCAGGACGCCAGCAGTCTTTGATCATCAGAAGACGAGGCAATCGATAGGACGACAATTGTCTTTGGTCATGAGTTCTCTTTGAAGATAGCCACGCAAAGCGTAGAATACATTGGGTTGCGATATTGAAATAATGCTTCAGCAACATTGTTTGCAAACTTTCTTCAATAATTGAGTGTCGAAGTTATTGCACTTTCGTACACGTAGAAAACACATCAGGATACGTTACAGGAGCAGTGGACCGGACCCCGGAGGTTTGCACCCGGGTGGGAAAATCTTTGAATTATATCAGGAATATTTTTCATCTTCTTACCTCCACTGATTAAAGAACGGGATGGTCTCCATCAAGTCATCGTTTTTATTTATGTCCGCGTTTAGTTCGTTACATAGACCAGACGTTTTACCAACATCTCTTATTGATGGAAATAGACCAATATTTAACCAATTAAGGCTTCCAGACTTTCTCAGAGAAAGATCAACTTTTGATCCACTAGGCAAATACATCTAAAACCGATCAGATACAACAATAAAGAACATTTTAAATGTCTACTAGTATTGTCGACCTACTGCCAAAAGCTTAGATGTCGCAACCACCACATTACCCTTGATGACTTGAAATGCACGTAACAGTGATTGCTAGATGCAGTAAAAAAAAACAATTTACTAAGTACTGTTATCGATATACCTGAAAATATGTTTCAGATCGTTTTCTGACATCTAGAATATCGGCACCATCATCACATAGTACATAGTCAATATACCAGTAGCCTAGGTTACAGCGGTTGACCATAAAGGCAGTTCTTCCAACTCTTACTACAACACCACAGACACAATATCCCGTTCTCACGCCTGAACAATCTTCTGTCTGGATTTGAATCTATTCAATAATAATAAACTATATTAGTCAAATGAATTCAACAGCAGATTCCTTTTCGATTCCTGCTTTGGTAAATGAAGAAAGAAAACACCATACCGAATTTACCTTTGGAGTATTTGCCCAACCTTTATCCATTTAGATTGTAGCACATAGGTCCTCCATAAACTGCCCGATGCGTAAATGATTAAAGGCTTTTTACAATGTCCTAACTAAAGACCACCAATGACACAGGGAGACATTGGGGTGAAAAGTCTATAGTGTATATACAAGGTTAAGGAAATGCTCCCGGTCGACTTTTTAAATGATTATTGTCCATACCTCAACATTTCGCTCACTTCTAAACAACGTATAGGTACCTTCAAGTTGTAACGTGAGCCTTCTGCAATGGAAAAAGGGAAAGGTAGCGTTCAAAAACTTGTAGACTAATGACACTCAATTTTAAAACGAATGAGGTATGTCAAAAAATATTTTTAATTTGAAAAGTATATCAAACCAATATTCTAAGTATTCGTCAAAGTAGGACAATTATTGACAGAGAAATTAACTAGTTAAGTACGATAACCTTACAAGTGGGTGCAAATACACGGAGAACAATCCTTGGTCATATGGTCATATATTGTTGATAAAAAATATGTAATGATGGTATCAATATGTTTGGAGCTACATTATCTACGTCTTTTACCTTCCTTTAAAATCATCAACATAAGGGTCGTTGTGAACACCACATTTTCTGCCTTCAATCAATGTTGTATTCTTCTGTATATTGATCTGAAATAATCAGTCTAAGAGTTTAGTCAGCTTATGTTCAATTTCACACCACGCATGACATTAAATATATAACAGTAAGTATACCTCATCAGGTATGAGTAATTCAACAAAAATACACAAAATAGACATTTTGAGACTCATGAAATCTGGTTTTAGATATTTAGATACATGTATTTCCCTGTCTATTCTGATGGTGTTGGATGTGTACCGGTAATGCAATAAAATTAAAAAGATGTTATCATTTTCGTGATGCATTCTAACCTACCGTAACCGGAGTAAGAAAATAATTAGCCCAGAGCGGTTGCGAAAAGTATGCGTCGTCGGTTCGAAGAAATATTTTCATTTGTATAGAATCCTGACCGAATTCTTCAGTAGTTGTTGATGATATTTCTAAATTTCTGTTCACGTTCCAGTTTTCAGTCTCAATAATGACACCACAGCCACCATTTGCTACTGCTGTCGGTTGACACTGTTTTTCATTTTCCTCTACATTTGGTATATCAGCAGTAACAGATAGTTCACATCCCTCTTTCTCTCGACATCCAATTTCCACTGATGGTCTAATATAAATTGTCGCCGTTGCACCTTCACTGATGGTTATCACACTGTTCAAGACCTAAAATAGCATACATAATACAAATATAACTATACAATAAAATCTAGTATATTTTGAATTTCAAGTCTTGTAAAGATTCCTGATTCGCTTAACTTTGATAATCACGTGACGTGAGTATACAGAGAGGGGTCGCTATCAAGATCAGGTCTATTTTAATACATTAAATACAGTCAGATACATGAATTGCTATCAATTGTCATACAACAGTCTTCTGTAATACAGCGATGACTTTCGATACAACGATGCACCCTCACCTCAATTCCTATAAATTTACTTGGACTTCGTGACGGTAAGCCGGCTATACGAGATTGATGAGCAGTAAAACCAGGTCGAACTTCACATCGTAACTTGAAAAACATAATTAGCATAAATAATGACATTTTCTATCCTAGAGGCGGTAAAAAAGTTTTTCTTTTTATTCCCTCAATATTTGACGATGACGACACGTTTAAATTATGTTGAAACGTGATCTGCTTAATAAAGAAGTGAGCTTATTTACTAATATTGTCTTCAGTTTGTGATTTAGGTAACAGTAATTACTGCTTAAATTGTACAATGATGTTGAGGGATGCGAGGGTTGGCTGTAAAGTTCTGAGGCTAACTGTGGTAGTCATATACCAAGTCGATGGTTCCCTTTTAATGATCTACATAGTCAGTCCCCTTCCGGGTTTACACACTTTTCCCCCCAATGCCATCATAACTAGGATAATGACGATCATCCGTGATTTTACAATTTTTGGAACACATGATTTGGCCAATGAGTTCGAAGCTACAATCATGGATCGCGGACAAGCACCCCTTAGCTTTGTTTGCTTCAAGAGTCTTAGTAGGTCAGCATGATATTCTGGTAATGGTGGCATTCCGATTGAGATATCGCACTTAAGCTAAGAACTTTCCAGCTTACCATCGGTTTTATGTATCATTAAATCATAGACTACAAAACAAAATGGACAAAGCCTATTGAAAAATCAATGTCAACTCTGGAGTTTTAATACAATGCACATTTTTTCAGAACAGAAATATTTTTTATTCTCGAAGTTTCACAGATTATAAGTAACAAACCTGAAAACCAGCCGTGGTAATTCCACCGGCATTTAATCTAGTATCAGTCAAGGTCCGTAGCCCATCTGTATCTTTGTAGTCGGTGTATGGCGAATCATAGACACTTTCATCATCTACAAACCTTCAAAATTAAACATACTCGGAAACTAAAGATATGTTCTATTTTTGTCCATCAGTCCAATTCAAAAGCTATGAGGTACAGTACAAAAAGTTGATTACCAAATGAAAACTTATTTCACTTAAAGTAAGCTTTTTTGCCACAATTACATTTAAATGTAGAAAAAAGAACTTCAACTTCTTTGATACCTCATGATTCACATTTGATGAGGATATTTCAAGCCTCGTGTTCCGTAATATACTCATTAAGAATTAGGATATATATCCGAAACAAAGAATGTTGCAAGTTCTTTGAGCTTACTTACCATTGTGTTTTATATACAAGCCGCACGTCGTCAGGATCTTCAAAAGCGCACATGAATGTATACTCTTTTCGTGTTTTATTGGAATTGTCGGGCAAGGCAACATCCTTGAGTTTATATTCAATAATAGTCTTGGTTTTGAAATCCGGAAACTCTTTAAAAATCAATTCAAATGATATACATGGTAGTTACATCAATAATTGTTGTCAGTTATATATAGATAAAAAGATCCACTAGTTCTTCATTGATCTTGATGATACAGAAATCCGTAATATTTTTAATCATAATTTATTCGGATCGTGGCAACAGATAGTATGACATCGTTATATATCGTAGTAAAAGAAAATAGGGCTGAGACCCTAGTAAACATAATTATTTTAATTATGAAAGCCTTTAACCCCTGTCCTAGGTCATAAAGACGTAGATAGTTATTACTTACCCCCCTCGATGGATGGAGCTGAAATTATTGCATCATATTGTTAAATTAGTCTTATTATTAATGGCATGATGAAAAAATACCTTTTGAAATTCTGAAAACCGCAATAACTAAATTGATCAGTTGGTGATTAGTGAAGAAGATTTTTGAAAGAGGGTTGAATTCTGATGTTGATTTCCTTCACAATAATTTGTATTATGTGCTCTCAAATGTCGATACATATATATACTATACCTAAACAGTAAGATGCACCATTTAAAGATGGTCTGGCTAGTTTATATACTGTCAATGTTGGTGAACATACGACTGCTTGAATTTCTATAGTTTGTTGACATTCATCATCAGCTTGGACACATGCTGTTACCGTTTCTACTGCACCAGAATTTGGGGGTCGCTCTGCAACGCATTTTACAAAAATGACAATGAGATAATTACACTATTTAACAATTGCCTCTATAAGATATAGTCATCATATAAATTTGAAAGCCAAAGCCTACCATAAGTGAACAAATGAAATGAAATGCATTTAGGAGCATCAGCACCAAACGGGCTATATAGCTCCAGAACACGGTTTAAACATCATGTCATAAAAACAAAACTAAAACAGTAAACAATATTTAACAAAAAACATTATCGAAGAAGAAAACAAGACGATAAAACCATATCACAGGAAAAGTCATTTAATGCCTACCAAAAACACTAAAAACAATATCACGGGTAATACACCACATGGTGGTATTAAAAACAAACAAAATATTAAAAACAAACAATGCCTAATCTATTTAAAATTTGAAATAAAGACCTACTTGTTTTAAAAAAAGCCACAACCTTCTCATGAAGAGAAGGTTGCGCAAATAATTGATGTAAATATCCAGCACGGTAGTGCTTGGATCTTAAAGGTTTGAGATGCTGGCACTCAATCAGAATGTGTTTCACTGTCAGGTCTGACTGGTTGAGGCTCTCGCTTGAGCAGATAACAGTTGGTGAGGTGAATATGACCAAGTCGAGAGCCACAAGTGAAAAAGAAATTGAACTAGTATATAAATCAAATTGATAATATAACACTGGAGAAATGCCCAAATGAAAAGTAAAGTTACCTTGACATGCCTTGACTATAGAATTGGAATTATTGTAAAGGAAAATAGACTTGAACAATGAGAAATTATTTTTTTCATTTCGTATACCCTCGTTATTTTTTTGTCCAGATATATTTCTATTTAGAAGGATATCAGGTGACATCGTCAAAGTTTCCGACATATCAATTACTGGTTAAGTAGCTGAAGGTACCTCAATTACTTGACACCAATTGTTAAGCAAAGTTTGAGCCGAATTCACCGATTTGACCTAGTGTACTAAAGGAGGACATTTATGAGTAGGATCGTTGGCACTTCGGTAATAATTGGGTTATTTACTCTGATTATGAAAATAAAAATGATTTGTGATATATACAGTAAATAAAACTTAAGTCGAAAAATTCATCGTTGATAAGAGATCCACAAGGACATTATCAATCTGAAACAGCTATGTAAATTAGAGAATGCAAAAATAATCAATTCTCGAATGGCTATAAACCATCAGGTTTGCTACCAATATCAGCATATCTAAGAGTAGATTACGTGCTACACTGAAAACGTAAGGGCCATTTAAGGCCAAGATTACGAGGAAGGCTTTAAACTTTGAAAAAAAGGAAATTTAATTCATAAAAATACTGTTTATGTTATAGATACATATACAAGGTTTTGATACACACTAAAATCATACAAATCGGGATAGAAAATCGTCTTTGGTGGTTGGATTTATATTTCGTAAATAATCTGTAATCGTGATTCTTAAAAGTGATTTTTTGACAGAGGAGGTTCTTAAGCTCGAACCGGCAGAAATTCAAAAACTTTGAACTTTTTTTTAAACAAAAGGTTTGAATTTGCTTTTATTAAAACCATGTTACAAAGACAATATATAAGCGAAATCCTGGGGTAAATCGGCAGAAAAAGCTGTTCAAACCGTGAGAAATTTTTGTAGACACAATGAAATGAATGACGTTTTCTGCAACTAATAGGCTAATGAACACTACGATCGGAAATTCAAACACTAGAACAACGTATAACATGATTCAAAGTAGTTCAGATTTTAATTCAAAATCACAAAAATAAACCCATAGTTATTGTAAAACATGATTCAAAGTAGTTCAGATTTTAATGAAAAATGTAAAAAAACTCATCTAACCTTGTAAATATATAGGATATTTTGTACCACATTGTCCAGCACCCGGTGGCTCAGATGGTATCATATGTTCCTCCTTTCCGTACCAACCCGCTCGCAGAAACCGGTCAGACAATTTACTGTTGTGGTTATGCGTGATTAGTCTTTTATCAGGATACGAGAACGGTGAGTGGAATTTACAGATGTCAGACACTAAAATAACAAATTATTAACATATATCAGAACACTATTAAATATTATCTTTCAATTTTCAATTTACATCCTGGAACCTGTATCACGCCTACACATTTAATCGTTGCTAAATCAAAGGAAGGGGTAGTATATAAATTATGGTTTTAATATTTATCTAATATACTTGCTATTCTTAATAAATTTTTTTTCACTTCCAATATAGAAATAACTGATAATACAGTGCACTCTCTCCCAAAAGCTCGAAAAACTAGATAGTACAAATATCGTCGAGAATATCTTTTTAAATGTGCCAGTGTTCCGAAAACTAGAACTAGAACGAATAAAATCAGTTGCTAGCTGCGCATTAAATTTGGCTAAAATTTAAAACCTTTTTCATTTTTAGGAACCATTGCGGGAAAATACTTAAGTATTTCTTGTTGTATTCTACAATCATGGTGACAATAATTTATGTGTGTTTTTTAATGCCTTCGAACTGTTGGTAAAAGTTAAATGGCTTTTATATAAAAATATAGGTCATGTGATTGTTGACTGATCTCCTTTAATAATTCAGTGGGTATTCTTTGACCTCATGGTCGCTTGGGTTGATTTCTATAAAATTCTTCAAGCGTATGGTAGACAAAGCAAGGCATGTACACTCTTCTGGAACAAGCCTAATTTAAGATGAAGGGTCACTATTCTATTCATTTCCAGGAACGAACTTCATTGCGAATGGAAAAACGTGACGAAATCTAAAAACTTTTCACCTTGAGCACTGGAAATAAAGAGATAACTTCGTGGTATATTAATTTTAGACTTACCATTCTGACATGAAGCTGTATACCAAAGAGATAACCCAATACATATATATAATAATAACCACATGTTACACGTTCATTCTTTTGAAACGAAGAGACAGGTCAAAGCCAGCTGTCATGCATATATTTGTTCCGGAATTCCACACCATCAACTACATGTCGTGTGGTGGGTTAAACCAAGTGGACAAACAAAACGTTACAGAGTATCAAGAAAATTTAGCATTGACAAGGGAAAAAGATATAGCTTATTTATTTATTTTGAAAGAAAAACAGTACAAAGGCACCGATAATAGCACTATGTAAACTGTTTGTAGAAACGGTAATTCCAAGGGCTTATGGTGGTTAGAGAGACTTAGACTTTAGCATACTTAGCTGGACATCCAGGGTAAAATCTTGTTTTGTTGGGTTTAGCAAACACTCCCCATCCCACACGCACATATATATACTTTCATGTTTTACCCATATCACGAAGAAAAAGAATTGCCTGTGCCCACCCCCATGAAAAATTTTATGGACCCTGCTAACCTCTCAACTTATGTTGCCTAGAAACGCCACTAAATTTGATTGTACTTCCTTCTCAAGATTTTACTCGTGATTATATCATCAAATCACAACATATCTTCCTTGTGCTGTCCGTTCTATATTACAGTTTTGTTAAATTGCCAACATCCTTTTGTCAAAAGGGAAGATTGAAAACGGGTCAATGTTAATACATATTCGTGCAAACTAGCCTCATATGTCCGGAAATCGACTGTCGTGAATTCTAAAAATATGCTGAGAAAAACGGATGATAAACTTCTTTATTCGAGGATTATTAATAACAAAAATATTAAGGTCATGGCTATGAAATTTCGACCGCAGAATGACAAATATATTAGAAATACTTTCACCAAATTACAAAAGTATATAAGTATATAATAAACTCATTGGAACACCAGCATTTAAATAATTACTTGTCAATGCAAGGCAGAATAAAATTATTGTTACTTCACTAACCTAGACTGACCTGTTATTAAAGAAATGTTCAGTATGGAAATGAAATTTCAGCACAAACGCTAAGTAATTCATAAGAATTTTGTCATTCATATTTAGTCAATAGGTTTCTCATTCCATTTCTGTGGTGCCTTGTCTTGTAAGACAGCTAAACTTTCTGGGGTACAGAGTCACACACAGTAATTCATTAGATTGTATAGGCCATTCCTTTTATAATGAAAATATTTTCTTTATAGTTTTGTAACGAACAATTAAGGTCAGATTTTATTTTGCATCAATTGTTAGTGAAATAGCAATAATAAACTATAATATATAAAGTTTTCGATTTTGTTTTAAAGAATTTTTGATAATGGTTGCTATTACATGAAATGATGTTACATTTATGTTAAATGTCAAAATGTTACGGCCACAGACTTAATACTTTATAAATCGTGGAATGTCCCGCTCAAAGGGCGATATAGGACGCGGGTGGTGATCGATGAAACTGCAGAAAACTTCCGATACACCGGGTAATTTGGTTATTGGTGTCATGATTTCTTGACATTTTCAAGACATGGAGACCGCTTATTTGATACAATTACATACAATAAACAATGTCTTGATTACTGAAAATTGCTACGCTCAAGTTTACCTTCGGATTTTTCAACCCGGTTTCCCCCTGTCAGTGATGCAGGTACGAGGGGCTGACATGGAAAAAGCGTCTAGTCGTTCGGATGGGACAATAAACCGAGGCCCCGTGTGCTACAGACTGTGCACGTTAAAGATCCCTCGACAGTTGGAAATCGAAAAAGAGCTGGCTAATGCCGCTGTCCTGGCAAAATTTCCCTCATTGCACCCTGCATGGCGTTGCCCGTCTTTATTAGCCCACATGGTGCAGAAAAGTAGGACGTAAAAACTCCATTCATTTCATTTCATTTCATTTACGCTCAAGTTTAGGTGATGAGGCCATGGTGATATAAACGGCATGCAAATTTACATTAATCCCATGGAAAAAATATAACCTTATGTAAATATTTAATAATATTTAATAAAAATAATAATAAATGTTATATAAACGTACATTGATATGTGCAGGAATATTAAATAATTGTACATCTGTTACTTATTAAAGGGAACTGACTGAAAAGTTGAAAACCTTAGTTCGAAAGACTCAAACCATGTCGATGGTTTTCATAGTCTCCTTTGATGTCTACACACTTATTCCAGTCAAAAGGACATGCAAATCGTCCCCATTGTCACAGAACGCCATGAAACTTACATGTTTCTGATCTACTGCCAAAAGCCTTATCACACATCTAGCAGAATAGAAGGTTGACAAGATATTCTGGTAGAAAGACAATAATAACAATACAGTAGCAGTTCTTATGTGTTTGACACATTCCGCTTTTTTTAGTAGGTCTAAAACATTTTTTTGCTCAAATTTGGGATAAGTATAAATCAAAACTATAGCAATCCCATATCCAATAACTTATCTGAAAGTTTAAACTAAAAAAATCCAGCCGTTAATGTTTTAAAGTAAAAGGTTACCTAACCTTTGAATGTTCCTTATGCTTTTTTTGCAAGCTGTTGGAAAACTGCTGTACGGATTTGAGTAAAATAAACGCCTTATTGTCTCCTACGTTTTCTAAAGATTTCAACTAAATATAACGAGCCATTATAAAGCCAATCACCGAAACTAGGTCAAACTGCTTCATTAACAATTAGTACTCTCAGGTTTTTAATTAATCCTTTTAAAACAAATTCAGTTTTATCAAGTAGATACATAGATAGATATGAATAGCATACTTAAGAAATATTTTCAGGTATAATTTAAGACGTTTTTGATAATGAAAATGTTTTACAAAAAAGCGGAATGTCCTTTTGAATAAGTGTACTTTTGATGGCAAAAGTTTGTGTAGCCGAAATTTTAAATGACGTGTTCCTCTTTTACATTAGGAACCAAACAAAATGTAAATCAGTATAGATGTTAAAATGACAAGCAACAGATAATAATTATTAGAATAATAAAAGCAATATGTTGATATAGAAGGAAATGTATAAAGCGATAAGCCAATAGCAGGTAAATCGAAAATGTCGAGACAACGAGAGTATAAAGTAGTCCACAGAAAAAGGTAAATCTGGATGGATCTATATAATTATATTACAATAATCGAAAATGTAAAAGGCAGTAGCAGTTAATGATAATTAATCCAAAATAACGAGAGTATAAATTAGGCTGAAACCCACTTCTATTCGCACCATTAACAGAGTGGTTATCTCCCTTCTCATCTGAAAAATGAAAGAACATTATATTACTATTTCACACTGTAACTGTAATCAATGGTGAAATTCAAACTATCAAAAGTTTGCCATGAAAGTGCCCGGTTCTTCTAAATCGTAACTACCACACAATCAGGAGTTCGGAATAACAACTATATTTTACAAGGATAACAACATAGGTTATCACTTAAGGATCCTTTCTACCAGCTGGATCTTGGCCTTTCTTGATCGGATTATCCGTGCCTGGTTGGGTCAACTGGAATCATGGGTGAAGATTGCTCTCAAGTGCACCAGACTTTCACATACCGATCGAGATCGAAACCAAATGATGTCAGATTTGAAGTTGTAAAATGATGCCGCAACAAGTTAACTGTAAGAATGTTTTTAATGTTGTTACTTTAAATTACGTTACCTGGTTTCAATATGATGTCCCAAGATTTACTCTTTCCACCAGCGTTACAAATATATTCATCTTCCCCATTGTTATAGATCGAACCGTTTCTATAGCAATTACTGTCCATTATACAATAATCAGACTACAAAAAGAAAAAGTGGTAAAACTGATTTATAGTAATGTATCTTCCTTACAGTTCTACCCGATATGTTTGGACCGGAGCATCAGTTCCAGTTCGGAATCATATCAAGGGTCTAAATATAGAAAGTACACTAAAATGAGGACTCAAATGAAGATATTTAAGAATTCAATGTCAAAATTTTTTAATTAATTCAAGTGGTTAATTTAATTCATTAACTACCAGTTTGCTAATTCATCTAAAATGTAATTAGATTTGTCTGCGTTAAATGAAGAAGGATCATATCATCCTGTCAACAACTTGATAGAACGAGCCATCAAGTTTAGCCTGAGTGGTGTTACCCAACAGCATTTAGAAGGAAGGATACACAGAATTTGTCTTCCCAATCATGGCAAATAAGATTATATTTTCAACAGAAATAGACAGCACAATCTCTGCATATACTCTTATGGACCAAGTTTGAGTTTATAAATTGTATTTCGTTTAAAAGTCGTCATCTAATCAGCCAACTAACATTATAAATGACAAACTTTGATTGTAAAATAAACTTACACTAAAAACGCATTGTGTACTTTCTGTATCCATGCTGCAGTTCATACATTCTGTATTATATATAATAAAATTTAACTGTTGGCTGTAGTTCTCACCATTATTAGATACGGAGACTTTATAACCTGTCACAGTTTCATCAATAACTGGTACATCTATTGATCTTCTACGTTTTCTAGATGGTAATTTACATGTTACTTCTCCAATACTCTCAAATACTGCTGTTTTTACTATTACATTACCTCGTGGTGTTATTTTAACCTCTTTTACCTATTTGAAAAAAAGGCATCGATGTTTATAGTGGCAAAACTGATTGTACATCTCTGATACAATTAAAACCATAACCACGACCCCTCCAGTTTATTTTTCAATGACATTCATTGTATTTGAATCTTTGAATCTACCTTAGCATAAAAATCAAAACTTTCATCAACATATCAACGTGTTTAAAACTCGTCAACGCCTTTGTATTTTCACATTTAGACTTTTGCAATAGTCTCTATAACTATCTGCCTCGAACGCCATTCAACCTTTACAACGAGTGCAGAATATGGCTGCTAAATTGATCTTGGGTCTACCGAAATATGCCAGCACGACGGAGGCGTTAAAGGCTACACATTCTTCCAATACACTTCCATCTTCTGATGGTGAACACATGTTTAAATAATTTGGCTCCAAAAGATCTATCGGATCTCTTAACTCTAGATATTAATCCGTATTGTACAAGAACCTCTGCGTGTTTTAATCTTCGTGTACCAACAACAATATAAGACCGGATAGAGACTGGTCTAAAGACAGTCGTTTTATAGTTTTGAAATCTGATAAGTTATCTATCGGTTTACCTCAAAAGGATTAAGTTGACACTTGGTCTTTTCATGCTCAACAAATCTTCCACCAAAAACAGCCACTTCAGTACAATCGTCTACTAATAAATCACAATATCCTTCCGCTTCTAGATTGTGGGCTAATGGTGGTTCATTGAGAGATACTGCACAGTCGGATCCAATATACCCAGTGTTACAGATACACTTCCCTGTAGTAGATAATATTGAATTTTTAGTTTAGTTTACAATCTTTCCACTGGTTCCCCCAATGGAGTATCAACTCAAGACTACAGGTCCGACATAACATGGCTTCAAGATGATCATAGGCAAATTAAAAAAAAACGTTCAACTAATAGAAACTGAGCACAGTATTTTTTTCTCCTCGAAATATTTCACGTTTATATGTAAATCCATTAGTCCTACCTTTTGCACATCGTCCTTGATATGAACACTCTCCAGGGCAAGAAACTTCTTTAACTAACTCCAGAAGAGATTTACCATCTTCCACTTTTTCTTCTCTTAGAGTTTGATTCATTCTGGCTTCATATAGACATTGTGAACTAACGGTGGATATGGAAGACAGTGCAAAAGCTTCAGTTCCACTTAACTGAAAGCAAAATGTATTTTGAAGGGTCGTTCGTATCTCATAAACCTGTTATGACAAAATCTTGAGATAGGTTTTAGCTAAATGAGATATATGCAGATTGATATTGCGAGCAAAGTACAGATAGTACTACTGGAGCCCTTGACGTTGAATAAGCAACTAAGTTGATGATACTAGAAATGTGAAAGAAAATGCTATAATGAAAAAATTGGGAAACTGGCCAATAATTTTACAAAAGTACCTGTATATCTTGAACACAAGTCTTGATTCCAATGTTGATATCTAAGCCTTTCATTCCTTTACACCGATCAATAACTTTAGAATTATTAAATAAATCAGTACAGTATTCATCTGCTCGTTTTATTGTCCATCCATTCTTCCAACTTACATCCTACAAGTTTCAATATTTAGAAAAGAAAAACCATTGAAACATGTTCCTTTTTGGGCTACTATTATTTCGTAAAATGTCAATAATTGTCGCTTGAATTTAACAATTTAACAATAGCGCATAATAAATCAATGGCTATTTATTTTGGTAGACTTTTCAAACAACTATGTGGTTTATGTTTGATAGGCGTCTGTCAACGGCCAATTCCAACTTCCAAAGCAGTCACTTTATTCAAAAGTTGCGGAAATAATAGCTAGATTCTCATTGTTTATATTATCAGCTTAAAGCTACTGAGTCCAAAGACGTTAATAAACGCACTTTCCGGAACACATTACATCTCTTTCGATGAGTTCTAATGGCGGATATTATTTATTTAAACATCTATTTGATAACAAATAATTTCTGGGTGTTTTGTTTTATATTTTGCCATCCATTATCTGACAAAAATTTTATGCATTTCACATAATATTCTACGAAGTAGATTATCTTTTCAATAACAGACGCCCTTGCTGTATATGTGGAATTCGTGGACATTTATTGTGAGTTAATCGTATGAACTCGAGTCGAGGGAGTATGACGAATGGACACGATGAAAGTATCACAACTTTTAATATCTTACCCTTTTCAGCCGTTTGTGTCTTGTGATATTGGATTGCGAAAAACCTGGTACAGACCGTTTTCTTCGCAAAGGTGATATACACCTCTTTGTATGGAACATGGTATAATCTGTATCCTGTACACAAGGTGTGACACCATTGATGGGAGTACAGATGAGCTTTCCAACAATTTTAGTAGCATTATGGTCATTACAACGACAATGTTGAAATGTTCCCGAAGTATCTATCCCCTCAATAGAGTCATAGTCCTCTGGTATAAACATATTTTGTTCATTTTTAACTCTGAAAATTTCAGAA